ATATTGTGCATTTATATTTTGAGATTTGTATAATGGCTGTTCTGTTAGCATCTAGATCTTATATAGTAAAAATAATTCTTTGCATGTCTTTATGTATATATATTTTTTTGCATTTTGTATTTACTATATATTTTCTATTTTTTATTTATTAATAAGATTTTACAATATTCACTTATATTCTTTATATTAGTATAATTATATATAGTAACATATTAATTTACGGAAATATATTTTCGTCCAATTTTTGTAAATGATCATATTTTTAAATTACATATTTAACATTATAATATATTCCTTTTCAGAATATAAGTCAATTAATAGTTTTTAGGAGACATATAATTGTTTTTATTTTTATTAGAAAGCTCAAATTCTATAAATGCTGCTCAATCACACTGGTTTAAAAGGAACAAATAACAGGAACATGAAAATGGTTAATAATAATAAGGATATTTTGTTATACTTAAGGGCATAATTAATTTTGATTATAGTGATACTAAGAAAGAGAAATATAATAATATACTAACAGAAGAACTACTAGAAATGACATTATGTGTTAAAGTACTCTTTGTGCACGTTCGCTTGATAATGACTTATTATATACTGTATAACATAAAAGCGAGGAATAAATATATGTAATAAGTTATTACACAATTTATATTAATAAAATCGTTTTGTTAACTATATTCTGTAAAAAAATGCATTTCTCTATAAATTATACAAATCGCATTTTAGTTAAATTCTCAAACTCGAACAAAAAATACAATCAATAATTTATTTACAAATAATGTGGTGCCATATGATATATTAGAATAAAACCTATTATAACTAGAAATATATTTTCAGAATGGCTAATATAGAATAAATTAAAATTCTATAAAAAATTAACAAATTAAATATAAAAATAAATTATATTTTAATATAACATTAATTCTTAAATGATGTGTGTAAAGATGTATATTCTTTAATTATATTATTTTCAACTGCAATAATGTGAAATAAAATAAATGCCTTAGAATTTTTTTATTTACAAGAAAGTTTTAGCATATTATCTTTAATAATACAGTAGCTTCTGAATTCCTTAAAAAACAAAGAATTATGATTTTCTTCAAAAATATCAGAAGCATCATAGTGATACAATGTTCTACAAAATAAGTGATAATATAGGATAAAAATTTTAAATATATGCTTTTCAGAGATATTAGATTTTTCATTTATTTTTTTATGTGTATTATCTTTTAAAAATATATATGTAATAAAAAACAAGCATTATTTATTTTTATATGCAGCATTTTTAACTTTTTAGGAAGTATATATATTACAATTTAATAGAGGAAAATATGAATATAAATTTTTATTCTTTTTACTTTATTGAATACCTATTATATTTTAAGGATAACAGTAACAAAAAAAAAAAAAAACAATAAATAACGTCATAGAATGTTTTGGAAGCATCTCTTAGTAGTTGTACAGGATATCATCTATAGGAAACAGTATCATATAAATACATTGTTATCTTACATAATATGTGCTCAACAATGAAGTATCGAATTTTATGATTATTGAGAGGGCATTTATATATACCCACGAATTATATTACATATGTAACATTATTAAAATTAATAAATTAAAGCGGAAAATAATTATTATATTTTATATTTAAAACTTATCTGATCATATGCATATATTTATATTTTTTGTTTCCACTTTCATATTAGTATATAAACATATGTATATTACTATTTTTTTTTAGTATATATGTTTGAATATAATTTTTCGGAAAAATATTGTATTTTGAATTTATTGTTTAAAATAATATTATTACCATTTTTAATTATATAGAATGAAAAAAATTATATTTGTATTAATATTCATAAAATATTCCATTTTTTATCATAACAAATTTATGTAAAACTTTATAAGCTTATAAAATGAATCATCATATATTAGCAAATGTTATAAATATATATAAATATTATTTTAAAATTCTCACAATAACGATAAGCGCAACATTTAGCCAATAATGAGTTATTTCAAAATTCAACGTAATGCTTTACAACAGAAGGTACGAATAGATTTGTGTTGTAGTGTACATAATCTAGAAAAAATTATAATTATTATAAAATTAATATATTTTTTATATTATGAATTATGAGGATTTAATATAGCATTTGTGTTACATTAATTCTATAAAAAATATTATAAATATTTTTCTTCTTGGTTAAATATACTAACTGGAACAAACTTAAAAGATATATATTCCATTTTGTATGTAATATAAATGAAGCATAATTTATGAAGTATTAAGTATACCAACAAAAATTTATTCAAAAATAGGAACATAAATTAGACAAACTTATATATCATATCCTTTCAACGAAAAATAAATATAAGAAAATATAAATTTCCATAAATCTAAACTAAATGAGTGATGATTATTATTAAAAATATTATTTATCATCTGTATATTAGAAATGTATATATATAAAAGAGATTATAATAGAAAGCATAAAGAAATAAAATACCATTATTATTGCTGAAAAGAATATAATCTAATAAAATGATAAAATATATTAGAAACATAAAGAGGATATATATTATAACTTAATATATAAAGAAACAGAGATTCTATTTATATATCGTAGTCACAAAAATGTATTTAATTTTTTTATATATTGGTGTATATTCAGTGTTATTTTTATATATATGAACTACTCTTCATGCTTTATAGATATATAATATATAAATTGAGTTTAAATTATACCTTTGATACTAAATGATATAATTTTTTTAGTTTTAATTATAGTGTAATAAAATAAATATATCAAATTTCTCAATTATATCACGTTAATTAGATTAATGAATTATAATCGTATATATATATTAAGACAAAAAAGAAAATTATAATAATCGTATTTAGGAGATAATAAATGTTATGTTTATATATTAACTAGTATTTTTAATTAGAAATTTTAATAATAGCAGAAATAACATATCCTATTATTATATTCCTAGTAGGATAACTTAATAATGGAACTCAATATTGTGTTATCTTAATGGGATATATATACAAATCTATAAGCAAATTACAATATTAAAATATATTTATTAAGAAAAAATATGATTCTGTATAGTTTCTTTTTTGTAAAATTAATATATAATTGTCTTATATATTTATATTTGTATATAGTATTTTCCGTTTTTTATAATGCTAACATATGCTTTGGTTTAGAGGATTTTCTTTTATTATTACCATGTTTGGAAGGAAATATAATTTTACATTATATTTGTGCGTTAATAAGTTATATATTATTATTTAGTTATTTCTTCTTTAAGAAAAAAAGGTTACTATAAGCGTTTTTATTCGTTATTTATGCTAAATAATATATATTCTATAAAATAATTCATTTGAAATAATATGGCACCTATTGTTTTAACAAAATTATAATCGTATATATTATTATAAATATAGTTTCCAAAAATGTAATAAATACAATGCAAATGACAATTAAAATATACAAGGTGAATACGGAGTTTAACATATAAAATTTTGCTATTTTGTATACTATATTGATTATATCCTAGGATGGTAAACATTATGAAGTAATTATAATTGCATAAACTTATAAAATTTCTATGTCACATTAATTAAGGATTGATATTAAAAATAATTTATACATAAAAAATTTTATAAATTATTAATAGGTATACAATTGTTTCAAAAAATATATATATTAATAAGATATATGATAATTTCTCACTCAATTAATAAGGATTACCCGGTAAAACACATATTTCACATATATAATTAATGCAGTTGAATACTAATTACTATTTCATGGGAAAAATAAGCACTATATGTTACACAATATTTATATAGTAAGCTCAATAAGCGAAAAAAACATAAAAACTACATTGAATTTTACATATATGATGAAGTAAATATTTCATGAGTTAAAACATTAAAAATTAGAAAATTTTCGCTTGGGATAATCAGAAACTATAATTTTAAATGATTCGATGAGCAAAAAATAAAAATAAATGTAAAAATAAAATAAAAATTATTTTTTACTAAATAATTAAATAGAAAATAAATATATTTATTCAGTTTGCACTAATAATAATATTACATGTCTATTAGATTACTACTTTAATATAAAACATTTATATTTTTTTACACAAACAATGAGGAAGAGTAAAATTATATATATGAGATATATAATACATTTAACTGACAATTACATTTTTTGTATTATATATATAGTATCAATCTAACATTTTGTTTTATGTATATTTTGTAATATTAATAATGCTTAATATATACAATTGTTAAAAGAATATATTAATTAACACAATTATAGTATCAAATGTGATTAAATTATATAATCATATTATATTAAATCACGCATATATATAATTAAATCGTTTCATCATTTATAAAAATTATTATAAATAACTAGTTTAGGTCTTTATTTTTTATATATATTGCAATAAAGTAAGTGCTATGTCATGAACAATAAATCATAAACGTACAGATTTTATAACTATATCCAATTATTAAAAGAAACAAATGACATATAAATTAACATACTAGGGTATGATAGTTTATGACATGTATTTATACACAATTTTGTTTCTTATATAGAATAAACTATATTACCATAATTGTAGCATATATTTAATATGTTAAAAAGGTATTATTTATCACATTATATTATTTTATAATTGTACGTTTATAAATACATTTTTCTTATTAGATATTTACATAAAATAATGTATTTATAACCGTAAACGTGTAATAGAACTGAATATCATATATTAAGAATTATATATAAATATAAATTGTAAAAAATTCCATAAAATTTAAAACACTGATACATATGATAGAATCCATACAAAACTATACTTATATTTGTACTAGATGAGTTCATATAATATAAATAAAAAATATCTTTCTTATTAATTCATATATAAATATCATAATTACTAATTATAATTCTATCATGGATAAGAGTGACGAAGTAAATTACAAATTCTTATTGAACTTATAATTTACATTACTTAATTTTAAAATATCTTACTTTTTAAGAAAAGTTGAAAATAAAAAATACACTATTAATAATATAAATTATAATTATATTTTTAGTTTGATTTTTCAGGAATATATCCCCAAAGTAAAAATTTATATGACACTTTTGTTTGGGGACGCATGGGTGGAAAGTTGCTTAATGATTATTCACCTGTGTGCAGTGATTTCTATACTAGAATAGATGCATATAGTAGTTATCTTTTTCAAAGATCTTGTGTACCACTTGGATTCTATTTAGATGCTTTAAATAAAAATAAAGCTAGTAATTCATATTATGATGTAAAACCTAGATGTTATTATTTCTTTTACAAGCTAAATGAACTAGTTAAAAGATACGGAGGTAATTGTGGAACACCAAGAAATTGTTACAAAAAAATGAGGGACAAGAAATCAGGAACGAAACGAATAAATGTACCTACTATATGTGAACAATTTGTTAATAATATTGAAGGGATTAGTGATGATATATTCAATAAAATATATAATATAGAACAACTATATATATATTTGGAAAAATTAAAAAATATTCCAGATCCATCTAAGTATTATAATTGTGGTCATGGAAAGAATTATGTTAGAATATGCAATGAAATGTTAGAAAAATTTACACATAATAAAAACAAGAGTTTCGATAAATTATTGAAAGAATTTAATCATTCTTATGATAGATATAAGAAAATATTCACTGAATGTGATGGTACACGTAAACGTAATCCTCCCCCACCGAAGCCAATATCTGTGACAGTGGCACAACCAACAGTAGAAACATTGAGAATGACTGCGACAGAGATGCAGACAAGGATAGAACAGGACCCAGGGACGGGGATAGGGACAGGAATTTTTGTCTCAACTTTTGTATCCTTAATAATTATATTCATTTTTTATAAGGT